ATAAAATGTAGGCACAAAAGTAATCAATCAAACAATGACAGCACAAACTGTCCTTTTTGGTGAACTAGCAGAGATTAGTGGTATAGTTTTCTGTGCGGCATCCGTATACATTTTAGGGAGTGGTGGCCCAGGCCTGTAATCCAGTGCGCAGGGAGGCTGAGACAGGTTACAGTTTTGAGCCCAGCTTGGGCAATTTAGTGACGCAGCAAGACCCTGTCTCAAAATAAAAGACTGAGGCTGCAGCAAGTGCAGAGGCCCTGGAGTCGCGTTCCAGTGCCGTGACAAAGGGGAAAAGAAGAAAGGAAGGAAGGGAGGGAGAAGAGAAGGGAGAAAGGAAAAGAAATACAATATTTTAGAAATTTTGGAGGACACCGTCACCTACGCCATGGTGTAGAGCTATGAGTGTATTGTTGCTTTTAATGTGCATCTGTATTTGTAACATAGTTGTATATAAGAGATACCATTTTTATTTACTTTTATCATGTAAATGCCTTTTCATGGAAAGTGCAGCTCCGTGGTAGGACTGGCCTAGCATGCACAAAAGCCTGGTTCTATCACCAACATCACCAAAAAGGAAAAAAAAACGTTCGCATTGCTCTAGACTTTGCAACTTTATCTTAAATGACTAACGCCCTGGGAGGTGATTTCTCACACTTTAGAGCAAGTTCGGAGTGTAGGCAGGTGCCAGTGAGGCTCTACTCTTTTCTGGGAGCATGTCCTCATGTTAGGCCAGCGGGTGAGATTGGCAGTGACGTAATGAGGTCTGGTGGTCTGGCTGCCGTAGGGTCAGACTGCTAGATGGATCCCCCAGACCAGAACAATAACTTGGTTTTGTCAAGCATTTTAACCACAGATAGTTTGTTAGGTGAAATACTTCATAGAACACAGACAACAAAAAATATAAAATCTGAAGTATTTATGATTCACACATGTACCTTATGTGAGACACTTTGGATGTCAGCAGTCCGGCAGGATTCCAGAAGGCTGCAGCTGGGGAGCTCCTCGGTATGAATCTACCTTACCAGTCTGGAGCTCTATCCATAGACATTGTTTTACCTCTTACAGATAGATCCTACTCTCTGGTTTACAGAATGCCGACAGTATTACCAGCTTCTCTGAGAGACTGTTCATTTAATTTCTTTCTTTTTCATAGAATGTGAATAAGCTACTAAGGTTTAGAGTCTCACAGTCGAATCTTCTCATGTAGTGAGGAACCATTTTACAGAACATCAAGTCACTAAGATGAAGTCCCAAAGACTGCAGAGCAGCATCAAAAGTGTGTTCTTTGTTGGTTAGTTTTTGTTTCATTTGGTCTGCAGTGCTAGGAATTGAACTCAGTCTTCAGCATGCTAGGTAAGTACTGTACCTGAGCTACACTCCAGTCCTGAAGTTTAAATAAGATTACATTTCACCTTAGTTCCTCAAGCTGACTTTCTTTACTCATTGAACTATTTCCCTAAGCATTAGCTTGGGACCTCGCTTCGCTTTCTTTTTCCATTTGCCTTGGGAGTGCTTCGGGCTGGGAGCTGCAGTCTTCCTCCAGTGGGAGAAGCCGGGCACCTGCCTAAGCACAGCCTTCCTGAGTTTCAGACACCGATCCTAATCTTCTCAGTCCGACTTCCAGACAAGCAGTGTCAACAGTTCCAGCAGCCACGGTCTATTATCTACTCAGGGAACAATTACTTGACAGCCACCAGGACTGGAAGGTTTTTGTGGGCACCCAGAGAACTCATATCCTGAAGAGAGACACTGATCAAGGCAGGTCTGTTTGGCAGAGACACTGAAAGGGTGGATTACGATTGATAGGAGGTTTAATTTGTGAAGACTTGATCTGATCTGCTTTTGGAGCAAGATAGTATAGAAGTACTTAGCGTCCATTTTCTTTGGGCATTCTTTGAAGATTCATTTGATTGTATGGTGATAATATTATCATAAGGATACAGAACTTTATTACATGAGTCTGCCTCTGCCCTTCACCTGCCTCACTGCCCAGAGCCACTCTGAAAAGTGTCTGGTGTGCACAGTGGTGGTGATGTTTTGGGGTGTGATGTTGAGCAGACTGGCCCACTTGCTCTCACCTGCTTTGCAGAAGGCAGGTGCTGAGGGTCTTGGGATGCGTGTACTCAGGGTGCACCGGAAGTGGTACTGGGGGGCCTTGGAACATGAGATGTTGAGGTCCTGACTGGCTGACAGAAGCAAAGCCAAAGACTTCATGAATCATCAGGACAGGCCAGAGCCCCAGCCCGTGCTTTTCCTCCCGTGTCTCCTGTTGAGAGAGGAGCCCTGGGGATGTGTGTGTGTATATGTGTGTCAAACCCAGAGCCAGAGGCAGGCTCCACTGCAAGTCCCCAGAATGCTTTTCTCAGGGCACCTGCTTTGAGGGTAAACATGCTATACTAAATCAGGACGAGTGGTCTTGGACTGTGTCAGAGGTAAAAGGCAGAACTGGGCGTAGACGAACTCACAGAGTAGCAGCGTCCTTGTGTTGGATAATCCCCTCTGTCAGCTTAGCCTTCAGAGTGGACTTACCCCGTGCTGCCTTTTTGGTACTTCGGTCAGCCTTTGTGTTAATGCGGGTCCCACAGTGTGGACTGAGTACCTGTGGGTCCCTGGGAACTGTTTTAGGGGTGTACAAGGTCTTCCCCTCACTGACATACCTGTGAGAGGCCAGATCTTCGTTCACTTCAAACTGCAGACTGCAGTGCATTGCACACAGATGCAGCTACAGGAGTCCAGCTGCTCCCGTCATCAGGCCTTGAGATGAAAAATAGCACTACTTTTCTAGCTAAAAACAATGTTTAAATGTTCAAAACATTTATTTACAAAATCACTTTAGTCTGATTTGTACTATAATTTCAGCAGATACAGTGTTTAATGAAAACTGATATAATACGCTCGTCTCTATGGAAAGAGTCTTACTACAAATTGAGTATAAAAGGGATTTCTTTTAATTACATGTAAATTTTAGAAAAACATTATCATTAGGTAGTACTGTTGTAATAAAAATGGAATTACTAAGAATTACTCAGCTAGTGAAATAAAGAGGTGATAAACTGTACTTCTCAAGATCATATTCCAAAAAGTGGGCGTATCTGCTTATGTGAAGAGCCCCTGCCCGAGGACTCTGCTCAGCTGTGACGGACTTCTCGGGGCCTTGTTTCTTTTCCCACAGCAGCCTAGGTTTGGCCCGTCAGCCTACCAGAGTCCTTGCCAATACCTCTCTTCTTACTACCAAAGACCTCACCTGTTTCCAGCAGTGCCGCTTTTTAATTTCCATGTGTGTATTCATTACTGCATGAACATTCTTCTGTGGCTTTCTGTGTCTCCTGCTGGAGAATCAACGGTAAACTAACATGAATAACTTCTGACATTGCAGCCAAAGTATTATACTACACAGTTTCGCTTGTGACTAAAATATAACAGTTGTTTGACTTTCCTTAACAACATACAAATAAACTTTAATCGAGCCTTACAAAACTAGGATTTGTGAGAAGACCTAGTGGAACACGTAAAAATTGTTTTGTTTTATAGATTGTGATTATTTTTAAATTCTTATTTTAAATTGAGATTTTAACTTTGTGCATTTTTGTGGTACTGGGGACTAAACCCAGGACTTCGCTTATGCTGTGCAGATGCTTTACCTCTGAGCTACATCACTAGTCTTTATAGTGAGACAGGGTCTCACTAAGTTGCCCAGACCAGCTTTATACATAATGATCCTCATGCTTCAGCTTCCCATGCTCTGGTTTAATATCTAGCAAGGTAAATATTAACAGAATGTAGCCTTCATAAAGAACTTTTTGAAAGTTCGAGAACTACCTGGCCTCAAGGACCCTCTTGTAAGAAACATCTTATGTCTGCTACCCTTCTCTGGTCTCTTCTCATAAGAAATGAGTAGCACACCCAGGTGTATACAAGTCCTTTCAGAGGAAAGTGGCTCAGATGTCCAATAGATAAGAGGTGCCAGATACAGGGAGGGGGTTTTACTGATTAGAATGATTGCTGGATCCTGTAAGTCCTTTGGTGTGTTTAGGTACACCCTCTGTGCCCTGTATTTCTTTCCTAGCCTAGAAACCCAGTTTTGTTTTCAGCACTTACAATTTACTTCTTCACTTTAATTTTGCTCTTCGTATTAGAAGTGGGTTAGGCAAACATTTTCCCATGTAGGTTTGTTGGAAGTATGCTGCTGAAGGGAATTTGTATTGTTCTGGTATGAGATACAGGTTGATTTTTCCTAATGGGAGGAGACAGGTTACTGGCATAGGTTCCTTTTGTCCTAGCTGAGTTTGCAGCCTGGGGTCTTAGTGCAGCAGCATCTTTCTGATCACTGAGAAGCCTGTAAATTCTGTAGCCTTACAGAGGAGAACAGGCAGTCTGTTTTCCTTATCCTGTCTTGCCTGAGCCTCATTGCAGATTCCTTTCCAATAAAGCACAGACTGGTGGTCACTTGACTCACACAGTGTCATTAGTCAGTGAGTGGCTTGTGTGGGGAAGGTGGTGTGACCCATCAGGACGCCTGCAGGAGCTCAGCTAGTTGCTGTGGGAGTGTGATAGGAAGGGAGAAGAGCCCCTGATGCCGAGAGGGTGGGCCAGCTGAGAATAGAGCTGTGAGCTGCCCTTCTGCCCTGGAGATTCATCTCGGCACAGGGCTGCATGAACAGGATGTGTTTCTAACTACCTGCCAGCATGCAGGGCAGCACTGGCCACCAGCAAGGTAGCAGGCAGTGGAGAAGCACTGGTGTGGCACCGCATGGGTCCAGAATCCCACTCTGATCCTCACCCTTGTCACCTGGACGTACAGGTTATGCCCCATTTTTTTTTTTTTTTTTACCACGTCTGTCTAGGTCATAGAATTGCTGCCCAGACCTGGATTAAATGATACTATATATAAGTTGGAAAGCTGGAAAACACGTTCTGTAAGCAGCATCTGTGCGATGCCGACAGGGCGTCTGCCCTTTGCCCCACCGTCTGAACTCATGCGCTTCCGTTTCCTCCTCCAGGTTACCTGTGCATGACTGACGAGTGGTTCACGCAGTACGTCTACGAGGTGGTGGTGGACAAGAAGTATGTGCCCGAAGAGGTGCTGGCTGTGTTAGAGCAGGAGCCCATTGTCCTCCCGGCATGGGACCCCATGGGGGCTCTGGCTGAGTGATGCCGCCTCCAGCTCTTTCTGCCCCCCATGAACCTGACGTAGCTGCAAACGACAGATCCAGGGACGAAGCCAAAGTTACCCAGGTGACTGTGTGTTCCCCCAGGACACAGTCCTACTCTTAGATTTACAGCCTCTGCCAGGAACCTCTTAGGGAAGTGTGCTTTATGCTGCAACAAAATATTCACAAAGAAGAAAAAAAGGAAAAATGAGAACATGGTATCTACTCTCTCGTCTCCAGCAGCTCCGGGTCTCAGCATTGGAAGGTCCTGGGCGGCTGTTGTAAGAAGACAGGAGAGGATGAGCAGCCGGGGTGTCTGCAGAGGAGCACCCCGTCCCGGCTCCTAGGCCGGCCGGCCGGGCAGGGAGGTGCCTACGCCTTGAGCCCTCAGACCTGCGCGGCCTCGCAGACCGCCGTCCTCCCTGGGGCCAGTCCCGGAATTCAGTGTTTTCCAGGCAATTTCTCGGGCCTCTTACGGCCCAGGAACAGGAGGAGGGTGATCAGGCTGACACGTTCCTTCCTGTACTGAACTGTGGGGTGCAGCTCTGCTTGCCTTGGGTTAAACAGAGGCGTAGAGAAAGTGGGAGAGCAAACAACCAGATCCTTATCATGGTCTCTCTGCAATCGTTAGGGGGCGCTCTAGCCAGGTGGCTTGACTTTGCCTCTGCCCTGGGGGCTGGGGGGCAGGAAAAGGTGGTGTTCGTTCTTTCTGACTAGTTGGTGCTGAGAAGCTTTTGAATAAAACACTTTGCTAAATGAGAATAATTTGGCTTATTTGTCCTGCTTATTAGTTGCAAATGAAAGCAGCCACATCACTTATGTTCTTCAAAGTGAAAAACCGTGAAGCAGGTCAGCGGTGGCCCTGTCAGCCTGTCTGCAGGCCTTCTGAGCCTTCCCACGGGTGCTGCAGAAGCCCACCCCTCTGCAGGGGGCTCCCAGGCTGCACCGCAGGGGCCCTGCGCCCCAGCCGCTTCACCCTTTGCTCAGATAAAACAGTGAAAAAGGACGCACTGTTGGCCTAGAGAGCGTGGATTTTAGTACATCTGGGCCTCAATTTCACTGAAAATAAGCAGAAGCAGAATCCTGATGAGCATTTCGGTTGGTGTCTGTGCCGACTACTACGAGTTTGGCTCCCCAGGAGTCTCTCCAGTTTAGTAGGGAATTGTCTGCCCAGCACTTTCCAAGACAACAGAGGTGCAAGCTTCAACCTAAGTGTTTATAATGTTCCAGTAATTTTGTTCCAGGCAGGATAAATAAATCCATTTCTAGACACATCATGGTAAAACCGCAGAACTGTTTTTTAAAAGCATCCAGGGAGAAAAGCCAGGTAACCTCCAGAGTGAAGACGGTGACAGCAAACTTCTGAGCGGCAACTATGTCCCAGAAGACAGTGACAGGTGTCTTCAAAGTGTCATGAGAAATTGGCTGTGAACCTATACTCAATAAAATTCATTGTCTTTCAAGAAAAGGGGGAAATGAAATGACATTTTCAGAAAAAAAAAAATCCTAAGCTTCCCCCAACAAAATAAAGTGATCTAGTACAAAAAAATTGCTATATATCAAAGAACATAGAGCAAAAAATTGATAACTATGTAAATCATTTAAAGTAACTAAAGCTATGTCTTACAGGGTTCAAAAGGTAAAACTAAAATATACAAAAGGGAGGGAAGGAGGTGATCAGAATATAAGGCCCTTGTGTATAGAAACATGGGTTAACTTTATACTTTGGTATATTAGTAGGTATACTAAAAACTTCTAGATAAATGACTAAAAATAAGCAGAGATAATAGTTTGCAAGCAAGAATAAGTAGAATAACCTGAGTTTGAAGGCATATGCAATGGGGAGGCTGAGGCAGGAGGATCGCTTTGAGTTCAAGACCAGTCTGTGCTATATAGTGAATGCAAGGCCAAGGCTGAACTATATAGTGAGACCCTATCTAAAAAAAAAAGTAAAATAAAACATAACAAAAGACAATAGTCCATAAGAAGACAAGATAGAGGAGGGGAAAAAAAAGGAAGGACCACTACTGTCTCCAAAACAGGATAGTAGAAGTAATCTAAATGTGTCAATAGCTACAATATACATAAATGGATTAAATGTAGAAAAAAAAGCCTTTATCACACATGTGATGGTTGATAACATTGTGTCAACTTAAGTCCAGAAGTTTAAGTCAACAGCTGTCCATCCTGGGATGTAGAAGACTTTCCTTTACCTCTGGGGTGTCAATTGGGGAAGTTTAGAAATGTAACAGAAATCAGCAAGGGGTCAGGTAGGGTCCTTACTCTGTGCAAGAGGAGGGCACCCAGACAGTGTGGGTGTGAAAGGCCCACCAGTGTTGCAAAAGGGCAAAGAAGAAAGACATCCTCGTTCTCTGGAGGACCCCCAGCCTTCCTCTTCAGCTTGGGCTGTCGTCTCCTGGTTTCTGGCGCAGACTGGCTTCCTCCTGGGACTCTGTAGCCTTGGTCGTAGACTCTTCAGTCTGCAGACCCATGGGCCTCCTGATACAGACTTGCATGGAACAGTAAAGTGAGCTCCAGAATTTGGACTGGACCCTTCAGCCTCCAGCGTGCAGAACCCCTCTGCATGCTTCTGCATCTGACTCTGCGGCTGACCATCTTAAACCAATCTTGTCATTTCTTACACATTTGTATATCTTGTGTTACATCTGTTTCTCTAGTAAAACCTGACAGATACGCTAGATTTTTATTTTTTTATTTTTTTTTTTTTTTTTTTTTTTTTTGTTATTTGGTTTTGCTTAAGACAGGGTCTCACTGTGTAGTTCAGGCTGGCCTTGAGTACACTATATAGCCCAGGCTGGGCTCAAACTCATAGAGATCCTCCTGCCTCAGCCTCCGGAGTACTAGGATTACAGATGTATGCCACTATACCTGATTCAAACTGGATTGTAAAAGAAATGAGGCATCTGCTGTTTATAAAAGACATAAGCAATCTAGGATAGTGAAAAAGGATAGAAAAGCTATATCAGACAGACATTAAACAAAATAAGTCTGGTAAAGCTGTATTAATAAGCCACAAAAATCAAGGTGCTCTGAGTGACCAAAGAGACCGTCTAACTCTAGAGTCTGATATTGCATGAACTATGCTGTGAATGGCCTGTTGAGTTGTGCATGGTAGGGGCCCTGGAAAAGCTTTGAGATAAAACCTTCCTGGAGATAAAATCATTACAAAACAATAGGCCTCAATTCTCATGGAAAACATGCTAAATTAGTACCTACACCTCTTAATAACATAGTCATAAAATACTGTTTGAGCAAAATTGAAAAATGGGAAAATATGTAATCCAGCATCGTCCTGGGAGGTTTTAACATCCTTCATAATTCCTGGTAGTTCAGGCAAGCAAGATACCAGGTGAGCATGTAGAAGACTTAAGCATTTAGTAAGGTTGCATAATGGGCAGGTGCAGGACACTGCATCTAGTGACTGTGTGTTCTTTTTGAGCAGTTTCTCAGCAAACCATTCACTAGACAGAGTTAACCTCAGCAAAGAGTGAAGGGATGACCCACACTCCAGCCACAGTGCAATTAGGTGAGAAATCAGAATTAAAAGATAATTAGATAGTAATCCCTATGTGCTTAGAAATGTGCAGTCCAAGAAGAAATCATAAAGAAAATGTAACCTAAGCAATAATATATGTCAAACTTAAGGATGCAGCCAAAGCAGTACTTAAAAATATAGCATGAAAATATTAAAATAATGTTATCAGAATATAAGAAAGGCTGAAAATGGAGCTAAACATCTATTTGAAGAAATCAGAATTCACAAATCTTTGGCAAGACAGAAAGGGAAAAAGCACATATAAAAGGAATTAAAGAAGACATCAGGTTGCTGCAGATATTAGAAAAACAATACTCAAGCTTTGTCAAGAGTGAAGGCATAAATGCATATCTCATGAAAGAAGGCAGAAAACGGCAGTATCTGAAGCTAGAGAGAAAATGGGGTGTTAAAAAATATAGCAGAGCTGAAAATGTTGAATCCTGAGCCAGTGATAAACCCAGTGGCAGACAAACCAATGTACATTGCATAACCCTCTAAAAGTCAGCTGTGGGGCTGGGGGTTTAGCTCAGCAGCATAAGCGCCTGCCTTGCAAGCAGGCAGTCGTGAGTTCGATCCCTGGTACCGATAAAAACCACAAAAAGACAAAAAATAAAAAATAAAAAAAGTCAGCTGTGACCGCATCAGAGAGCGTTACTTACTGCTGGGAGTGGGTCTCCCAGTTGAAGGGTTGAGTGACTATTAGATCCCTCGCTGCTCTGGGCTGTTCCTCTGCCCATCAACCCCTTCTCCATGGAGAAGGAAAAGCCCTTTCCAGGTTGGAAGTCAGGGACAGAGGTGAGGGTCTACACACCAGGAGGGCAGTAAGTGAGCGTTTACATTCTGAAAGCCCTCAGCCATCTGGAGTCTCAGAGTCCTCCTAGCAGATACCAAGTCTTCTCTGAGAAACCTTGATTATCCCAAGAGAAAAGATGGAACAAATGACTATTTTATGACAGATGAAAATATTTTATGAGTCTGGCATAAAGTAAAAAATAAATATGCAAATCTCATCCATAAACGTAGATACAAAAGTAATAAGCCAAATCTAGCTATATTTGGGAAGATAATCTTCACAACCAAATGCTTAATAAAAGCCATTTTTCAAACACAATCAGGACCCAGTGGAGAGAAAGAATGGTGGCTGTGTCTTCTCTGCTGAGGATAAAGGGCAAAGGCTAAACTCTTTGCCAGAGACCTAACTGGGAGAACTGGCCCAGAGGGACAGGCAGGCTAGGGGACGAGAAGGTGTGGGATTGTCCTCTCCATCACTGAGTGACCGTGTCCGCAGAAGGCCACGCCGATGAGCTGTCTGGAAGGTCTCGGCTCTGTGAGTGTGGGTCCAGACGCCAAGGCCTGGTAGGGCACACCCGTCCAGATGTGCTTGTGGCCGTCTGCTTGCTTTGATCCCCAGAGAGCAGCGTAATGCTAACTTGCACTTGAATTCCCTCTCCTCCTGCGGGCTGGGCATGAGCACAGCGGCCAGTGGCTCTGTGGCCGGTCATTTGTTAAGTCAGACTTTTTGAACCCAGATGAGTTCTGTCCCTGCGAGGACAACACTTTCTGAACCTTTGTTCTTCTCACGGAGAATGAGTTTCTCCTCAGGGTGTGCTCCTAACGGGCTGAAAGCTGGCTATAACTACCCGAGACTCTCTTCTTCCCTTTCGAACTGCAGGTGGAAAGGAAGAAAAGGAGGGAGGGGTGTCCACCTCCTACCCACTGCAGGTATTTGGGACAAAGTGGACAAGGGTGTGGAGGTGGGCAGCTCTCCATCCTCTTCTTGCTTGATACAAACAAATCTCACTGCTTCTCCTCTTGAAACCTCTGGCTCAGCAGCACACCCGGAAGTACAGTTGGTCTCTATGCCGTCTCTCTGGCTACCCCATGACAGTTGGTCTTCACTGTTGTAAGTGGCCGGATGGGACAGCTGCCCCGGGGGAGTCCGTGGTGGGAAGGACCAGTGTGCTGGACTTAGAGTGGAAGCACTTGCCTAGCATGGTCAATCCCCAGCACTGAAAAATAAAATAAAATGCCAGCGTGTGTCCATGTCACCAAGCAGGGAGGGACCTATGGGTGCTGCGGCTCGAATGTCTTCAAAACACAAGGCCTTTAAATTCCGCTTAGGTGAATTCACTAGCAAGGACACGTGGCCTCCCGCCCTCCCGCCTCTCCAGACTCAACCTAACCGCTTCCCTTCCTGGCCTCTGCTCTGGCCCACTGCCTGTCCCCAACTTTGTCCCTAGAACGCATCAACCTCAGTCTGGCCTCCACTGTTGGCTCCACCTAGCGCTCTCCCCCAGGTCTTTGCACGCCCGGCTCTCCTCTGCGGGCTGCGGCTCATGCCCCCTCATCTCAGGAGCCAGCCCTTCTCCTCACTCCCTGCAGCTCCTCCACATCAGCCGCTCCCTGTGCTCTTATTGGAGTCTATTTTTTTTCACAGCACTAACTGCTTTCTGAAATTATCTTACTTATTTATATGTTTATTGTCTGTTTTCCCCCCAGTCAATACTCCCTGTCAGCTCTCCAAGGGCAGGAAGTTTGTCTTGCCGCCAGTGTATTCCCAGTGCCCTGCTCCTAATAAATACCAAGAGGTGACTGATGGGATGTGTCCTACATTCCGACAGCTATGATCAATTAGAAGTTTATACATAGAGCTGAAGTGTGCGGCCCTGTACCTGTCTCAGGGCGGATAAGTACCTTGTGGGTCTTCCTATTTTAATGCTTAACGTAAACCTCTGGATTCCACAAAGGCAGCTGGCATGAAGGGAGTAGAAAACAATAAAACCCACTTCACTTTTTCCCTGTTTGAACCCTTCCTGTTTCAAACAGCTTAGCCCAGTGGAAGAAGCAGGGATGTGAACTCAGTCAAACTGACCTTGCTACTTGGAGGCCATGTAAGCCTGGGAAGTCACCTAATGTCTCTGAGCCTCAGTTTCCATACTGCATATAATGAAACACTACTTCAAAATGTGTTCAATATAAAAACTCACAACTTGAAAAAGAGGGAAATGAGTTTACTTTTATTAACATATACAGTAGGCTGAGGCAGGAGGATTGCACTTAGCCCAATTTGGGCAACTTGGCAACTTGATGAGGCCTGTCTCAAAGTAACAATAATAATAACTTTAAAAGGGCTGAGAGATTCAATTTCTATGACTACCAGAGAAAAAACCAACACAGCAAAATATAGCACAAAACTCATATGGTAGAGAAAGGACAAAAGGCAATGCATATAATTTCCTCCTTCAATGTTAAATAAATGGCAGCTTTAAAAAAAAATCTGTTTTCATGAGCTTCTCCAACAGATCTAGCATTGTGCTAGGCCCTCCAGGGGTTAAAACAATGTCTTGTTCTCCAACTGAATCTGTCCGATGATAAATGACTTTCAGCGCACACCACAGAGTTGTGAACAGGCTTGGAGCTAGAGAGGGAGGAGAGGCGTCAACTGGTTTCAGGCTAACTTCTGGCCACAGTGGGTGCGGATATCAAGGGTGAGGGGGAGCAGCTTCCCAAGAGGAGAAGGAGGGGACACTCCCCAGGGATAGAGGCGCATGAAGTCCATGGAAGGGGGAAGCCAGAGAGACTGTTCTGTAATCTCCTGGATGGATAACAACGGAAGTTGCCAAGACAGAGGCAGAGACAGAGAGAGAAATGGCTTTGGGTGCTGAGAGCGGAGGCCCCAAGTTCTCAGCTGTTCTGTCTCTTGTTCTGATTCCAAACAGAGCACTGACTTCACCTCTGGATCCACAGCACCCTGACTAAGTAACACAGACGAAACACCTGCTTCTCTCTCAAGTGAACAGAACTAAGTAAATAAACAAATCATGGCGGTGAGTCTTGTCTTGGGAGTCTGTAGGCCATGAGGTAGGGCTGGGTCCCTAGGAATCGTCAGAGTTCTTCCCTGCTCTGTGAGAAGCCTGGGATTCGTTAGAATGTGCTTTCCCTCTCCTTTCTCCTCCCCACTTTCATAAATAATTTGAAAGGGTGCTGCTTTTAGCTAAGCATCATAGCACATGCCTGTAACCCTGCCAGTTGGGAATTTGACACAGGAGGATCTCAAGTTAGTGGCCTTTCCAGCCCTCAGGCACTGGTTTTGATAGCACCATCTGTGAGAGTAAAAGCCACCTTCCTGATCATTCAGGGACCCTTCTGTCCCCAACCCCAACCCAGCAAGGTCCTCCTGCGGAGTCCTTAGGGCACTTTCCCTCAGATCCCTTTACCTGGCTCCAGCAGGAAGAGCTGCACCTGCACAGTGGCCACCGTGCTGTCCGCAGGCGCAAGCATAGGGTGCTTGGGACAGAGAGCAGAGCCTGCCGCGGAGCTGCCGTGCTCTGCACCAGGTTGACATGAAGTTAGAGCCCTCGTGACCCAGTCATCTTCCCAAGGCTCTGTGTCTGCACACTGCTGCATCCTGGGGATCAAGCTTTCCACGCGTGAGCCTTTGGAGGAGAGAAGCCATGTCCTGAGGGACACCCACCCTAAGTTGGGACAAGGAGGGACGGTAAAACGATGCTCTGCAGGCTGCAGGACAGAGCATCAGAATCTGGGGTCTTGACAGCTAGAAATGCTGACAAAAGAGAAAAGTGGGGCTGTGGGACCATAAGTATGGTCAGAAACACTGGGCGTCAGGTTGTGCAGCCAGGAGAGACACCAGTCTGTTGATGGTGAGGGGATGATGGGGCAGCTGGGGCTAGGGCATCCTTGATGCCCACACTGCAGGAGGAGCACTTGTCCAAAACACTGGTTCAGCCAGGTGTGATGGAGTACACCTGTAATCCCAGCACTTGGGAGGCTGAGGCAGGAGGACTGCCATGAGTTTGAGGCCAGCCAGGCCTACATAGTGAGTTCAAGGCCAACCTGCACTGCATAGCAAGATCTAGTCTAAAAAAAAAAAAAAAAGATTCAAATTTTTGCTGACTTATCAGGGATGTGTGTGAATCTGATGTCCTCTTCTGAGGGCCTCTTGGCCAGCAACAGCCAGGGAAAACATGGCCTGAGTGTCCCAAATGAGGGGAGAAAGGGTGCAGTGGGAGACCCCTCATTACCCACTGCAGGATGGACACCACCAAGGTCACCATTCCACCTCATAGACAAGGCCCCCTAGGGAAGTCCCAGAGGCCACGGTTAAGGGGCCACACAGACATCAGAGGGGCTGAGCCAGGATTGCACCCAGTGCTGGGACTCCATCCCATGCCCAGCGTCCCTCGGGGAGAGCAGTGCCAGGCGACACAGGGCAGCTAGGCAGGAGCAGAGAAAGGCCGGAGCAATGAGGGCAACAAATGAATGAGACTGGGAACGGTGTTAAAGTCACACTGAGACGGCTGGGAAACAGGGTGGCGACCAGAGCCTTTGCCAACCCCAGTGCCCCTACAGCTCGGCCCCCTTGATTCCCGTCTGCCCTGTCCTTCAAAACTGCCATTTACATTTTCGCGGACCTAATGGGCACAGGATTCAACACATCCACTGAAGAGGAAAGGTGCTACAGACCATGTCCATACGAAGGGGAGCCGTGGGGTGCGGACCTGCCCCGCCCACTCCCCGGGGACGTGGCTAGAACAGGAAATGCCCACGCCCACCCGGGATTACCAGCCGAGGGCCCCGCGGGCGGAACGCTCCCGGCGCTCCCTGCAGTCCCAGCCCTGGCTCCTAGGTGGCACCAAAACTTCATCCTGATCCTTCTGGGTTGGGAGCCTCAGCCAGGGCGCAGTTTCCGGGCTGGACGCCCCTAGGTGCAAAAGGGCTGCAGCCTTCCTGGAGCTGCAGACTCCTCGGCGCTGCCTCCTTTCTGGCTTGGATTTAGCCACTTACCCCCTCACCTCTCAGGGGAGAGGTAGGCTGGTCAGCCAAGGCCTGACGTCTCCAAAGCAAGTTCTTGGGGGTAAAATGTGATTTTAGTGAAAAGGCAGTGTAAAAACATTAAATTCACCCTAAGCATAATTGTTTTAAACAATCAAGGCAACCTATGCACATGGTGGTAGACAATGGGCTCCTTTATAAACCCCTCAGACACAGTCCTTCAGCAAACCCCGCGGGCACCGGCGCGCCTGCAGCTCGGCGCTCGCGCTCTCCGGCTGGAATCCGCTTTGAGCGGTGGCCGGTGGACGAGAGGCTCGCGTCCTCCTCGCATTCTGCACGCATTGTGTGCAGCTGCTGGAGGCTCAGGGGACGGAGAACAATTAGACGAGGTCCTTCCGGCCGTGCTCACGCCCCAGCCGCAGAGTTGGAGAAACCCACGGAGGGTGGAGGGCTGCTGAGAAGCCAGGCAGGAGTCTGTGGTCCAGAGGAACTGAGGTGGAGCAGAAGCCGAAATCCACTTCTGGGTGTGTTTGGTAGGGGAGGGAATGCGCATCTGGAGCTGCGCTGCAGTCCCACAAGGCGCGAGTCACCACCCCACTATGGGGGTCCCGCCCCTCCCCCACGCCAGGAGACGCCCCTGCACCCAACGGCGGGGAAGCAAACTTTCTTCGCCTCCAAGTGACGCAAAGATTCTTGAGGAGCTCTTTGGCGGCGGCTATCTAGAGATCAGACCATGTGAGGGGCCGGGAGTACAAATAGTGCGCGCGGGCGCCGGCTCTGCACAGCAGCGCGCGCCCCGGGCTGCGAGGGCGCCAGGGTCGCGCCGCCCCCGCCCGGTCCGGCAGGTGGGTCCGCTCCTCCATCCCGTAACCCCGCTTCTTTCCAGGTGCCGCCCTCTCTCGCAGCGGAGCCGTGGCACAGCTGAGCTCCCGCCCGGTAGGTGAGGGCTCCGCGTCTCGGGGCGTCTTTGTGCCCTGCAAGCCCGGGCTGGGCCAGGAGGAAGACTCGGTCTTAAGCCAAAGTGCAGTCCTGCACTTCGGGGGGAAAAGTTGCCTTCGTTTCAACCCATGTTTTACGTTTGATCATCATTTCGCTGCCATCGCGTGCAAATGGCTTTACGCGTTTGAGCAGGGAGGGTCCTGGTGGACACAGATGCCCAACTACCTAGGGAAACCTTTGAGTGGCACCGACGTGAGCTGAGTTTCGGTGCGCTTGGGTGGTTTCGCTAGCAAAGCTGACGCTCAGACCCTCCCAGGCCATTCAGAATTTATGGCAACTCCTGGGAGCTCTTGTAGGTGGCTGAAGTGTGTGCACGCCCATCCCGTTGCTTGAAAAGTGTGTGCGTTCAAATTTGTTTTGAAAAGCTCTCCGGAGTTAAGGAGCAGATTTCCTTTTACTTTTGTAGGCTAAATCGTTCCCACTCCGGCTGGGAGGAATTCAACCCTGAGAAGGATGGAATTTCTACCAGTCAGATGTTACAAAAGCTTGCATGTATTTTTATGATCAATTTTGTCCAGAAAAGTGAACCAGGTCAATGGATTATTTATGAACCTGCTAGCTCTCATCATAGTAAGATGAGATCAAATATTTAATGTGTTTTGCCTTCTGTTACATAGGAAAAATGTCTAAGAAGGCAACAGTGGGATTTGTGTTTAAGGAAAGGGAGGGGGCTAGGGACAGCATTAGTGTCTGGGTGTGGAGGAGTGGAGGGAAAAACCACAGCTTTCTTCCGGCTGCCACGTGGCTTGCTTTGTATGGTGCTATGGATGCTGGAAGGCTCCGTTTTTTCTGCTACAGACCCCTGGGTGTTGGGGGCTATTCCTGCACAGGTGAGAAGCAGATTCCTCTGCAACTCCTGAGAATTTCTCTCTCTCTCTCTCTCTCTCTCTCTCTCTCTCTCTCTCTCTCTCTCTCTCTCTTTCTCTGTGTGTGTGTGTAAGGGTGTGGGTGGTGTGGGTGTGGATGTGGGTGTGTGATGCTAGGGATTGAACTCAGGGCTTCACACATGCTAAACACATGCTCTACCACTGAGCTACACAAAAAAGAAATGGGTTTGAATATCCAGGGTGCTGGTTGTATCTTTGAAAGCCTTAGATGGACCAGAGTGTCATGAGGACTTCTGATTCATTATAAAGTAGAAAAAGAAAAAGAAAAAGAAAAAACCCAAACCCAGAATGACTTGCTCAATCAGGTCTGGGGCTTTGAAGTAGTTTCAGTCTTGTTCAAGTTCAGAGAGAGAGAAAGAGAGAGAGGAAGACTCCATACTATGGTATCCCATCCAGAAGCTTTCCAGCCTAGACAGTCAAACCCATTTCTTTCAGGCTCTTTAATAAATATACGTGCTAAAGGTAGGAAGGAGGAGACAAAGTGATATTGAGGTATTATTGGAATCAGCAAGATTTCAGAACCACTTGGGAGTGGTTTAGAGTCATCTGAGCATTTTTGATGAAACATGGAAAGGCTTGTCTTAAGAGTTTCACAAATAGGCGGGGAGACCGAGGAATGAGAACACGAGGCTGAAGGGGGATAAGGAGTATGGGTTGGGCTCGTTCTATGGCAGGCTTGCGAAACACTCTGGCTATCCCTGCCAAAGAGCAACACAGGTAATTCCAAAAATCAAACCTTTCCAGGGCAGCTCCTTCTCTTTCATACTTTTAAAGTGGTTCAATTTGAGAGTCCTGGGTACAAGACTGACCAGCGTACATGTGTTTTATTTTGCTCATAGAATCAACAGGACATGATCATGACTTGACTCCTTTCTTAAAGATGCCTTGGTGGACAAAGGGAAAATCATGCAGTATTTTTTTTTTTTTTGAGAAGGCAGCTCAGGAGTTGGTTATTCCAGTAACCTTTGGCTCCTCTCAGTCTCATGATCTTCGGCTCCAAATGAGGAGGGAGCAGCACACACGCTTTACATGGTATCCAAGTCCCCTTCGATTTGTTCTCTGACTGTGGCCTGAACCTCTCTCTCCTTTAAGAAAACAAGCATTATATTGATGGTGCCAAATTGCCTAAGAGCTTGGACTTTTCTCAGGATACTGCTGTCAAATCAGGGTCTTCCAGGGGACCTCCTGGGGTTTCGCTCAAAGCAGAGGCTTTGCACACTCTGACATGTGCTACATCTCAACTGCATGCAATCAACAGGGACTGAGTTTCCAGGTCCCCTAACGCTGTCTGGAAGGCACCCAGGGTGTGGTCTGGGGAAACAGTCCAGGGCATACAGATTTGGATGGTGCTGTTCCTCCTAACCAGACCTGAGCTGCTGCAGACCAGCCACACTCCTCTGAGACCCATGGTGTTCAGTGGTGCAGCCTAAGTGTGCAGACCATCCTAAGCACAGGTTTCTTGGGAAAAATCTGCAAACTTGCCATGTTCTTTTGGGGAGTCAGTTTCTGTGCTGCTGGGAGCAAAATAGCATCCGAAGGAAAGTAAACTGGCATCTTTCTAGGAGAAACCTTGGTGGAAAATAGATGAAACCAGCCCTTAAAAGACACCTGGCATAACTGATCACACCTGAGCAGCATATTGCCTTTCATTTCTAGGGTGGGGACAAGACCCACCATGGGCTGAGCAGCCCCTTGTAGGCAGAGCCCTTCCCACTGACTTCAGTTCACATTCTGCAGTGTGGGTCTTCTCTTCACGGGACACTCCCTCCAGCCTTCCTCTTTTTAGCTCTTGGTGACTAGGAGGATAAATGCTCATTTACTGAATGTCAACATCACACTTTTAAACTGAGCAAGTATTTTCCCCAGCTCCCATCCAACCCTGGGCCAACGAGACTTGATAGTGGGTGTTCAAGCCAGAGGCTCTTCTGTTCCACGACTGGGTGGAACTCCACAGACAGCAGCAGGCTCTGGGCTGCAAAACCGGAGAAAGACATGGAGGTAACATCCCAGGGTCTCCAGAGACTGACAAGGGACAAATAGCAGGGGAAGGCCCCTCGGGAGGCTGAGGTCTAGCTCATGTCATTACTTGAAGTAGAGAGGGTACAAGTGAGTGAAGGGTGATGACAGGACCAGCAGCCACCTGGGAGAGTGGCTTCTCGGGGCCTCAGGAAAGAGCCCCAGGTGACAGGGTGATGGCAGGCTGGAAGGGCAGTCTGTGAGCCTTTGTCAGAGTGCGTTTTTCATGTGGTCCTACAGGGCATAGTTAAAGAGAAAAAGAACACTTATTTCCTTTGTTACTGACCTGCTGAATACAATAAGATAAATTGATTTTTTTTAAAAAGGGCCTAGAATTAGGGACTGAGAGACCAGAATGGGGGTCCTCGCTGACCTGGATGTACTTCCCGGACTCTCAGGACATCACCACCAGCCCTAGAACACACACATCCTGCGCTCCAGGTTCTTTTCTCCCACCCCCTCAAGCTGGTCACAGGCTTGGTGACTTTAAAATACTAGGTTCTCTCCCTCCTTTCGGCGGAAAGGCCCTGGGGAGGAAGAAGCAGGGAAGAGCCTGGCAGCTGGAGAGATAAGCTATTTTGGGTTGACTGGAGATTTCCCAGAACTGGCCTGAGGGCTGGAATTCTCTGACCAATTTTTTTCTTTCAAGAAATTTCAAATGAGAAGTCAGAGGAGTTACTCATTTTCACTGGTTGTTAACTTTTTGCCACATTTATGTTGAAGGTTACACTATAACACGTCTAATGTTTGCATGTGGAACATAGAATTTGATATATTTGTAGTATATAAGGTCATGGATGCAATATGTAGTTTGCACAGCTGTGTATAGTATTTTCCTGATGAACCTCTGAGAGTTTGCAGACAGCCAGCTGCTTTACTCTTCACCTCCATGTGTATCTCGTCAGAGCAAGGACTTTCTCCAGGGTCAGCAGCCCCTTCGTGCACCGGGGAGCAGTATCACCCACGCGGAGCCACTGCAGAATACAGGCTCACTCACATTTCCCTCTGTGGTCTCAGTGATGTCCTTGGAGGCCAATGCAGTTACTTTTTGCCATTGTGCTTTCCTAGGGCTCAGAGTGTTTCTTGTCCTCTCCTGAATGCATAGCTGGGAGCTACATCTATGCTGTGTAATGATGAACAGTTTTTATTTTTAATGACACCTAACACCACGCACGCACATCTGTCTCAGTGATAAGAGCAATTAAAAGTGAGGCACAACGCAAATTTTTAGGTAAAAGCATTACTTGGGAAGGAAAATAAAACAAGGAAGGGCTGGGGATTTAGCTCAGTGATGTAAGTGCCCACCTGGCAAGCGCAAGCAAGGTCATTAGTTTGATCCTCTGTACAAAAACAAAACAAACAAACAAAAAAATCAAAAGAACAGGGAAGGGGTGTGAACTCCAGGAAAAGGCCAGAGGCCAGTTTTTATTAGTTTGCTGGCTGGCTGGGTCTGGTTGATCCATTAGCTCAGTTCTGGTTCTGCAAGGGAACAGTTTGGGGGCTCCCATGAGATGACTGCTTCTGCTCGGGAGTAATCCTTTCGTGGGGTGCTCTGTTTGCAGAGAGGCCCTGCTGGAATCCAAGGTGACCACAGGTTTAGGGCAGTGACTAGAAACATTTAGGCATTGCTCCAGGGGCTGTGGAACAGTAGGTTGTAAAAGCTGGCAGTTGAATGTCCCTGAAATTTTGAGGACACTTTAGTTACTCTTATCTTGGTTCCCCTATCTTGCAGGAGGATGAGATAGGTTAGGTAAATTTAAGGCTAATAAACGTGGCTTTACACAGACACTCCCTAGCTCACTCTCAGAACTGAGCAGGGATTTGACCCAAAGTTTAAAGTAATAAAGGAGACAGATGCAAAATGAGGGCAGAGATGCCGGCTTTATCCTGCTTTTAGTTGCCCGGGCCTCTTTAAGCTCCAGGAAAGACTCATTTGAGCAAAC